TCTGAATAGTTTGGATTCCCGCACTTTTGTGGTCATTCATCCCATGCAAGTGACATTCACCAAAGAGTCCTCAAAGCAAACTTCCTACCCGAATGCTGCACGTTTACCGTCCCCAACATGGAACCACTTCGGGGTCCCGGGCCTGGTTCCGTTTCCCTCACAAAGGCAGCCTTAGGTTTTAACGTTGGGGAGGAATTGAATAATTTCATCGTGTTTCATCGGCCTCGATAAGACCAAGCCGACTCAATCGCTCTGACGTCCAGTGAAACTGATAGCTTCATCCAAAACTTGTGAAGCCCTGCGCAAGGTGCCAAGGTCACCAGGTTCTGCCAGGGGGCTGCTCCCAACAAGCCTTGGAGCTGCTTGTCCTCTTCGAGGCTTCTCGTGGCATCCAGCAGGTTCCTGAAAAGCTTGGCAGGGGATGGGGGGGGAGGGAACTTGGTCGACGTTGGAAGGGCAGCTAATTTTGCAATTATTCGGGGATTTCCCACTAATTTAACCACAATAAGCAAAAATGTAAAATGTTTCCCAACAACAACCATGGGAAGGGGGAAGGGGAAAGGGGGGTGGGGACAGGGGGGGGAAGGGGGGGATTGCCCAAATGAGGGCCGTTTTCCCGGGCAGCTTTGGGCACGCACACCTACGAACAAGGGTACCGACTCGGTACCGTAGAAACGTTACCCCGGAGAGCTGTGGAACCAAAAAGGCCATCTTTACCAGAATCTCATGCAAAACATTGCAAAACTATTTCTGGGTTCCTTTCAACGTTTAGGGGATATCCCCAACAGTTCAGGAACCCTCTGGAACCATCTGGAACCCTGGACAGAGAGCCCAGACCTTTCGGCTCAGAGGACCTTAATGGGGGACGCCGTAGCGAGTTTGGCTTCCAGGCATGTTCAGCAGAAACAACCAGATGTGCTGAGCCGGGGAACCAACCAAAAACCACCCGTAAATCCTATATTCGGGCGTTCCAAATCCCATTTGGAGACATCGTGACGCCTGGGCAGTGTGAGAATCCCCTGCAACTCCGGCGAGCCGTCCGGGATCTCCTGAAAGCAACAGGCCGTTCCACGCCCGAGAGGCCGCACAAACATGCACACCCACAGAGCTTCCACCAAGCCAGTCACAATCAAAACCTGCTCTGAAATGCTGCCCAAGAAAACGGCCGCTGTTTTTGTGTGGTTCCCACTGTCGCAGGATCTCTGATCGTGGCTCAAATGCTAAGGCCGGATCATACATGTTCACGGATGTTGGAAAGAAGCACTTTTGAGCATCTGCTTTGGAATCCAGGCCCCAGAATCCGCATGCCAGCATCACAGCTGGCAGCAAGTATGGATTCACCTCGGTGCGAACATGAAAGGAGCGAGGGCTGAATCGGAAACGCAACTCTGCGAACGAACCAAACAGCAAAAGCCTTATGGCGTGTGGCGGGGGGTAGTAGCGGCATTGTCAACGGTTTTCTGTTTGTGTCAAGCCAGAAAAAAAGGGTACCCACTATGTTCGCTGCATCGCGATCCGAGTGGCCATGGGATTCAAAAAAAACAACGTCACTTCGTCCCCTTTGGTGTGCTTCGAGGTACCACACCAAAACTATTCGGCGCGCAACTGGGTTCCCCAGAAAAAATGAAAAAAACAACTACTAAACGAACGCAGTGGATCTCAGGACCATGCAAAATCGGGGCTTGGGGTCCGGGCACCTCAAAACATCACCTTTGCTTCCAACGGGAAGCTCCAAACAGCGGGCCTTGCGGCAACAAAAACAACCTGGTCGTGCGCCGTTTTTTTTGGTGGCGAGTGGAAACAACTAACAAGAATCACCCCCCCTCAGTTGTTCAGTGACCCTGGAAAGAACTGGTTCACTCTTTTTGTGGCTTGGGCCGGATTTCTCGTGGGGCCACCACAAAAAAAGAAAGGGGCAACAGACTTGGTGGCACTGAACCACTGAGACCACTTTGACGGGTTCCCCTAAAAAACTGACACCAACTCATTGCTCCAAGATGCCGCCCCATCCGCCAAGCGCAGCTCGAAGCGGTCCTTGTCCGGCACCCGCACCATGTGGCTGGCGACGGGTGGCGCGGAAGCCGCAACATCCATGCTGCAAGGGATGGTCCAAAATCAGGGGAGAGGGGAAATATGACGCATCCTACAACAACCGCAAGTGTGTGTTTGTGTGTATATTGTGCGTGCATGGCGTGTCTGTCTATGTGCATGTTTATGTGGCTGTGCGTCTGTGTGGCAGTGTCTGCGTGTGTTTCTTTGCCTTGGAGGGAGGCTAACCTGTACCAAACATCTTAGACTGTAATGACAAGTAGCATTGACTTAAACCGGTACAGTACGAAACCCGCAAATGTCTGTTGCTTCTCTAAACCTGTTGGAAAAAGACACCTTAAACAAACCTGCTCCAACAAATTGGCCACTGAGGAATTGCGAAGCGACACTTCGAGCAGGTCTATGAAGCAAAGACCATCTGATCTGGTGGCTTGGGAATGGATTGCATGACCCCTGAACCTTCCCTTTGCGTTTGCTTCCCTGATCATTCCCTATAATTGACATGCTTTAACAGTGCGGTTGGGACGCAAAACTCTGGGAGCCTGCCAATCTAGGACTGTCTCAAAATAGAGAACGTTCTTGTGGGACAACCTGAAATTAGTGAATTCTACAGAAAAGGTTCCCAAGCATTCCGCACTGAACAAGTGGCAGCACTTCGCCGGTCACACTGCGAGCATGTAACGTACTGTGTATTGGCCACGCGCATACAAAATGAGGTGTGTTGAGCCTAGAAGATGACCAAAACACCAATACACCCCGCCAAAATGACAAAAATCTGGCAGTGGGTCAAAAATGGGTACCCAAAATGGGTTGCCCTGGTAAATGGAACCCAGGACTAAAACCAGTGGTCCCCTGGTGTTTAATTTTGACCCACACCCATATGGGGGGCTTCGGGAGGTGCACCCATCCACACCTCCGGCCTGCGATTGTTGCCGCTCCACGACACGCCTTGCTTGACTTCCATGCGTCAGAAGCCCCAGACTAACCCAACCCACGTGGGCCTTGACCCAAGATCCCCCGAAACTGTTGTCCATGTGTCAGCTTTCCACCAAGTACGAGGTTTCGGGGTTGGTTTCAGCCTGTCCCAGTGGATTTCGAGTGGATCTTTTGGTGCATCCCGGCTACATGTACAGGTGCATGGAATCATGTGTGACTTCAAAGACAGGTAAGCAACAGCCTTTTCCACAACCTACCTGGCGGATTGACCCTGGTTCTTCTGAAGCGTACGCCCGAAACCCATAGACCTGTTTCTATGCCTACTGGACTACTGGACATATAAATGTGTTTTTTTTCAGGAGACTCAAAGAAATAGAGGGTGGTCAAAACGCAGGGCCCCTGAGCAGATACACCTCAACATCAGCTGGTAAAGTTAAAAACCATTGGAAGCAGCTGGAATTTGGCGGTGTCTACTTTGGGTGGACAATTGGTTACAACACGGTATGGTTTGGCTGCAACCTCAAGAAAAAGGAAGAACTTCAAACTGCTCAAACGGCCCTTTTTCGGACGCTAGCTTCTCCCACCCAACTTTGATGCAAGTCTCGGTTGGGCGACCAAGTGTAACCTGACGCGGTGGCCGCTCCATTTAGCCTCGGCGTGCAGCACTTGATGGACAACACTCCCCATTGCGGGTGCTGGCAGTTGGTGGTTTGGATTCAAAGCGTGTGCATTCAAACACTTGACGCGCCAATTTGCACGGAAGCCAGTCTCAGGCACCCCAAAGACATCATACCACCCTTTTCGACCAAGCAACCCAAAAAAGACAGACCCAAAATGACCCAAATGAGTCAGTGCGGTCGGGCGGCCGTTTGTAGGAGTTCACCGTGGGGTTGGTGATTGCGCAGAAGCTGGGCGCTTTCGCCAGCACACCCCCCAGAAATCGCTGGCCCAGCTCCGACAAGGTCTCCGGGCCCTGCAGCTAAGTGAAAAGAAAAAACGGGGATCCTAACATTTTACACCTGAACATTGCAACTTGTAGATGGTGGTGTCCCTTTATTTGGTGGAGAAGCCATGTTTCAAATGGTTGCAAAATGGAGATCTTTTAAGGAGCCCTGAAAAAGCCAGCCCCTTTTCCCCAAGCTGGCCGGTAGCTATCTCCAACTTGCGGCTTGGCGGTTTCAAAGCAAATGCCTTTTTTTAAATATCATGGACATTTGCGGCGTATCTTTCAAGCTCATTCTTTCCTTCTCTGGAAAGAAATGTGTTGTAGGGTTCGAAGCGGACGGTTTGGCGATCAAGAAGGTCTTTTGATTCTGTACATGGGTATCTGGAAGACCAAGATGGCTTGGGAAGCTAGATAGGGGGAAGTGAATAGGTTGGACATGGCTCTCCAAGAGCGGGTAAGTAAAGGGGACAACCCTTTGCCATAAATAGGTGCGAATATTCTGCAGCCCTTTTGATTCTTACATGTGTAGACCCTCCAAGCCACACTTTGATTGGGACCCAGCTAGTTTGAGCCGGATTTCAAACATCTACCAGTGCTATCTGTTGTTTTTTTGGCGCAAAGGCCCTTGTGACTAAACTTCATACACGGTTTGGGAAGGATCGCTACATGGTTGTGATGCCTTAGTTTTAGGAACTCCTGGCAAACTTAGATGGTTTGGTGGCTAGTATCCTTCAAGTTGCTGGGGGGTTAAGTGGAGTCGACTGACCACTTAGCGATGCCCGAAGAGCTGACATCTGGTACAAAGCTGGGTCCATGCAAGTAACTTCTTAAATTTAGTCCCTAAATGGAGGCTTAAACGGCTTTCCCACGCCCCAAAAGCAACACGAGTCTATGATGGAAACTTAGGCTCTTCCTTCTTTAGGCTTGTACTCTTGGGGCTTGAGCCTGCAACATGACCTCTAAGTCTCTGACATCTCCTCAACCAGCCAGGTGTGGTAAAACCTTTCAATGAGGGATGTCCCATTCAAGCGGGGATCCATCACAGTGTGAGGGCAACATGGTTCGAAAG